CTGCAATGCAACATGCCGGCCTCGCCCTCCGGGTGCTACGCTACCAGGCTACATAGGTAGGACGCTGCGCCATGGTAGAGCAACCCCTCCAAGCTGCAATATCACCAAACCACCTTGCATCGGCGCAGTCGACGCCGAGCGTTCGCTACCGCGCCCCGGGATCTTCAGACGTCATTGGATACGGGTAAAACAGTATTCGATGCTACCCTACCCTTGAATGTCAAAAAAAAATTTAATACATGTGCTCTATATTTGGTCCCCTCCCACCGCAGGAAAAATCCGGTCTGCCGTCACGTATATAGTAAAGTATACACTAGACATGCGTCTCTGTCACTCCCCCCCTGCCGTTCCTTTCTCTAATTGGGATGCCTTTTCGGCTTTCTCCGTAGGAATGGGCTCGAAACGGACATGTATAAGTGGGATGACGTTGTAAAGGAAGAAAAAAGATCCCCCATTCTATCAGAAAAGAAAAGAAAAATAACCCTGGAAGAGCCCCGAGTTGCGAAGTTTATGCACTCGCATACACGCTTTGCACTTCTATTCGCACGCGGGCCCCTCCACGAAACCACCCGGCCCGATCCGTGAACACGTCGCTTCTAAACACTCGCCCTGAAGGATTCTATGCCTCCTGTTCATTTGTAACCCCATAAAGGGGGGGTGATGGAACATAAACAAAAAAAGATTTCAGTTCTCCTCGATATAGCGAAGAACGACAAAAGGGACCCCCCGCGAGCTACGCAAAGGCGGCAGCACCGCTGGGACGATAGATCGCCCAGAGAGGACGGAGATCAGTGCCCATTCTCGCGGCCATTCTCCGGCCGGTGCTGCATATTCTCGTCATAGGCTTCCCTGGGCGGGGTCGGGGGCTCGTCGCGGATCAGGTGGTCGAAGTCGGGCACCACCTCACCGTCCTCGCTGACGACGGGGAACGGAGTCAGGACGTGGCCAATGTCCCCCCACCACGACTCCCCGAACTCCTTGTACCACTCGACCGTCATGGCGAGCCCCTCCTTGATGTTGGTCTTCTGCGTCCAGCCGAGCTTCTTCAGCTTGGACCCGTCGACGGCGTACCGTCGATCGTTGTAGGGTCGGTCATGGGTGTACTTGACCCACTGCCGCCACTGCTCTGGTGTTGAGTGGTCGATGTCCATGGCCGACAGGATCATGCCGCAGAGGTCCAGGTTGGACACCTCGTCGTAGGAGCCCACATTGTAAATTTGACCGATGTGACCCTTGTGCAGGATAGTATCGAAGGCATCCGCAGCGTCGCCAGCGAATAGGTATCGTCTGGTTGGTCTGCCATCTCCGTGGAGCACTACGGGCTGGCCTCTATGTAGCAAGCAGGTGAACTTGGGTATGATTTCTAAACAGCATCAGTAAAAAAGGGGCCTTTCTGGCCCAAGAACGCGGGGTGTGTGGGTGTGGGTGTGGATGTGGACAGGGCGGGAAAACAAAGTGGCAGAATGCAGCTTACTCTCAGGGTACTGATGAGGACCGTAGACGTTATTGCTCCGCACAATTATGATGGGTAAGTTGAAGCTCTTCTGATACGACTGGACCAGCATCTCGGCGGCCGCCTTACTGGCCGCATAAGGGTTGGTAGGTGCCAGGATGCTAGATTCGAGCAGGTCGTCCTCGTCCTCCTTGACCTCGCCGTACACCTCATCCGTCGAGATATGGATGAAACGCTTGATGCCAACCTTCTTGGCACTCTCGAGCAGCACGTGCGTGCCGTAGACGTTCGTGTGCGTGAACCCATACGAGTTACCGAAGCTCAGATCGACATGGGACTGCGCGGCAAAGTGCAACACCGTATCAACGTTGTGCTGCTCCATGCAGTCCAGCACCTCGTTCGGGTGCGTGATGTCCCCTTTGTAGAAGGAGAAGTTGGGCTCATTATCTAGGATCCTGGTGTTGTTGAGGGCCGCGCAGTAGTCCAGCTTGTCAAAGGAGACTATGTTGTACGCCTGGGAGTAGTTGAGCACAAGATGCCGTACCAGCCAGCATGCTCTTCGAGACGCAGGTTAGCAGCAACTCCCGCAGGTCTTGGCCGTTTCCAGCGTGTCAGACGGGGGCTCTTGACTCACATGAACCCTGCACCCCCGGTGACCATGATGTTCTTGACATCCGGACGGGGTTCGAAGTTGGTGGATCCCGTCAGTATCGGGGCTCTCTTCCACACTTCGGGATTCTGGTGGTGACAGCCATTGCCGTTCATTTTACCTGCCAAGAGGGGAAAAGAGAGAAAGCGAATAAGTAAACAAGGTCTGCGTGAGTGAGGAAGAGAGTTGTCCAGTGTCGTGACATACAGTCTGATGCGGTCATTACTAATGGTTGGTGGCGATGAGTTCACCACAGCGCCAACAGAGAGACAGCCAGAGCGAGCGCTCAGCGCCTTCCTATAAAGGCAGCGGTTGGGAGAGGGCGCAAAGTCGGTTCGTTTCTATCCCTCCAAGACGGTTGAGCAGAACATGCCAGCAGCGAGCAGCAGTTCACGGGGAGAGGATTGTGTCTGCCGATTGCAACTGCGAAGCGCTGCGACAACTGATCTGACTGTCCGTGTGGTGACCCTCCCAGACCTGGACCGGGATCTGGAACTGGACCTGGAACCAAAATCTCTCCTCCTTCTCCCCCTCCAAAAGTAGGTCTGTCGCCAACCCCTGGTCTCCCTGGTTTCGGTGACGTGACTTGTGCTCAAATGGTCAATCGCCCGAAGACTAGAGCCGGGAAAAAACTTCACAAACAGGCAAACGAAGGGAACGAAGTAATTGTCGCAATGATATGATGCGCTGATGATGCTGAGGCTAATGCGAGTCAAACGAGTACTTAATGGACCGATGCAGAACACCACGAGGAGATTTTTTAGAGTTTAGCAACGATCTCAGGGACCTGGGCGACCAGGACAAGTAAGAACGAGACGAGCTGAAATGACTGTCGTTTCCGCAATCTAATAGCGGGGATTTGGCCTCTTCTGCCAATATTCCAAGACGGCGGACGACGGCCATAGCGTGGTGAAATTCTAGCAGGATAAGATACCTACTGATTCGCCGCCATCGCGGCCCCGCAACGGTCCTCTGAAAAAGGGCTGCAGCAGGGCCTGATCGGCGCTACGGCTAAGTGGCATTACTGCGGCGAAAACTGCAGAGCCAATTCAATTCACGTCATTCGGGCTAGGAGGCCATAGTGTCGTTGAGCAGTCAGATTCAGGCTAAATGCAAGCCCTTTACAACTGGTAATTTCAGCCAGCCATTCCAGCTTGGCCAGCATGGGAGGCAGCCAGTAGGCGTGGAGGCCTGGCTGGTTGCGAGCGTGCCACATTCCGCTCTAGCAAATGGTATGAACAGCCGCAAACTAATGCCGGAAGAAACTGTTTTATTGTTTGCCAATAGACGCCATGCCGACGCCATACATGAATGTCTAATTACAAGTTGAAGCGCTTCCTGTCCTTTTCCATCTTGGCCTTCCACTCCCATTGGGTCGCATCGTCGCCCTCGCTGCCTGCACGTCCGATTCCCTTGTCCACTCTCCTCAGCTTCAGCGTAAATCGAGGGCCCAGCTCCTGGAGGCCAGCTCGGATGTTTTCCACCCCCTTGAGGTTCTTGCCGTCTGCTCCTGCAATGCTCTTCTCCGTCTGCCGCTTGTCGCGGAACACGTACCGGTGCCGTCGCACAAAGATGTAGTCACGCTGATTGTGCAGCGTTACCACCTGTCTGCCCTGAAATTCGGGCTGTGGCGGGAACATGGACTGGAAAAGCTTCGCCGTCAGCAGACCGAGAGGTGTCTTGAAGTTGGTCAAAAGCAGTTCCGGGTAGTGGTTTGTCGGGTTTCCGTGACCAGGGAGCTTAGCTCCCTCTATCCAGTTGGATATCGAAAAGTGGAATGTTGGCCCAACCGGAAGATGAACAATGGACAGCCCAGTCGGCTTCTTCGAGTCCTCTCTCAACAGAATAACAGCGGTGTACTCTCTATTTGTAGCGAACTTGCAAATCTCACGGAGCGAGTACTTGTGCCCGTATCGATGCGAGGATCGGGGGGTATACGACGTATTGGGGAAGAGTGTGCAAATCAATCGCGCTTCGTCGTGGAGTGTAGAGTTCAGCGATGTTGTCAACAAGATCTTGGGCGTAGGCGGAGGGATATCGGAGAACAGTGTCGGGAACTTGAGAGTAAGAGAGGTGGGCGCGAGGTCGAGATTCGTGCTGGCCATGGAGGGGGCCATGCTGTTGTCTCTTTGCGATCTCTTGTCTCGTATCCGCTCCAGCAACTTATCGTTTTCCTCATCTTCCTCATCGTCATCTGAACCCAGCATACTATCGTTCTCCTCGTCGTCTTCATCACCCTTCATCTCTTCATCGAGAGCTCTCTGTTCCTCGGCTTCGGCCTCTTCCATTCGTCGGCGCTTCAGTCTCACCAAGTCCACCTGAGCACCCAGGCTATCATCATCGCCTTCGTCCCATATACGTTTTTCGTCAAGGGTCACGGTTTTTCGTTTCGCCAGACGCTCTTCTTTCAAACTCGGGTCCCGGCTCTCCTCCCTCCTACGCTGATGGCGGGCTTCGCGGCGCTCCTTGCCGGCGAACTTTTTGTGCTGGATAAACATGTCCTTTCTCTTCAGCTTGTTCACAGACTTGAGAGCCTGTGTTGGGGGTTTAGAGAACCCCATCTTGTAGATCGGCTGAGTTAGCCACAGAAAACCGGAATGGGAATTCAATTGGCGTAAAAGGAGTTAATATAGAGAAAGACGGCCACGTAGCTTGCAGCTGGCAATGTTGGAGGGGCAGTCTGCATATCAAAGAAAAAAAAGTTTAGTAACCTTAACAGCGGCAGAAAAGTCCTAAAATTTTGGCGGTGAGGTAAGAATACGCCGCTCTCATTGGCCAGCGGACCTCCTAATCTTATCGCCAACCTTTTTTCCATCAGCGTCGTCTTGCGACTGTTCTTGCGGTAGATTCAACATTCGGTGACCAAAAAAGGAATACCAGAGAGTCGAATTGCTGAAAATGGCATCCGGCGGCTCCAAGCGGAGAAAGCTCTCTCATGAGTCTCCCTCCCAGGACTCATCAGCACCCTCAAAACAAGCCCAGAAAGCCTTTTTCAAGAACGCAGCCAGCTGGAATCTTGAACAGGACTACGAGTCGCGGCCAAGAAAAGGGAAGAAGAACAATGAAAAGACCAGCACAAGATTGCCCATCAAGACTGCCGATGGACGCCTGGAACTCCTGAGCGGGGTTGAAGAGGAGGAGGACGACGTTTCGGTTGAGAGCGACACCGAATGGCTAGAGGGCCGCGAGGAAGAGGAGCCCGAATCCGAGCCCGAAGAGGCCGAGGAGGAAGCAGAACCAGAAAAGTCAGAGCAGGAGCAGATCTTGGAAGCTCAGGAGGAATTGGCCAAGCTTGCCACTGCCGTCAATGAGAATCCCGAGGACAACGTCGGCGCCTTCAAATCCTTGGCCCGGATCGGCCAGTCCAAAATCGTCGCAATACAGATTCTCACCCTCATGACCCAAATGGCGGTCTACAAGGACGTCATCCCAGGCTACCGCATACGCCCGCTTTCGGAGGAGTCGTCAAAGGAGAAGCTGTCCAAGGAGGTCCGCCAGCTGCGGCAATACGAGCAGTCTCTTCTCACGGGGTACCAGGGTTACCTCAGGGAACTGACGAGATGCGCAAAGCTGCCCTACAGCACGGGGGCTATGAAAAATCTCAACAATGTGGCCATCACATGTGCCTGCACGCTACTAGTGTCGGTCCCTCACTTCAACTTCCGTGGAGACTTGTTGAAGATCATTGTCGCCAAGATCAGCAGAAGACATATCGACAACTCTGGACAGAAGTGCATTGAAACACTCGACACTCTGTTCCGCGACGACGAAGAGGGACGGGCTTCCATGGAAGCCATGGCAATGATCTCCAAAATGATGAAAGCCCGTGATTTCCAGGTCCATGAAAGCGTTGTGAATCTCTTCCTCAGCCTTCGCTTGTTGTCTGAGTTCTCTGGCAAGGCGTCATACGATGCCGTCGAACGCGATGCAACAAGAACAAAGAAGCCCAAGCGGGAGTTCCGCACCAAGCGTGAGCGCAAGGATATCAAGAAGCATAAGGAACTCGAGAAGGAGATGAGCCAAGCAGATGCCCTCGTCGACCACGAGGAGCGGGAACGCATGCAGTCTGAAACCCTCAAGCTCGTGTTCGCAAGTTACTTCCGCATCCTCAAGTTCAGGATGCCGCACCTGATGGGTGCCGTCCTAGAAGGTCTAGCCAAGTACGCTCATCTCATCAACCAGGACTTCTTCGGTGATCTTCTGGAAGCTCTCAAGGATTTGATCCGGTACAGCGACAGCGATCTCGAGGCTGGCAACGACGAGGTGGAAAACAAGCAGGACGAGGAAGAGGCCGACGACGACGACGATGACAGCACGACAGCAGTGAGAAATCTCACCCGCGAAGCCCTCCTCTGCACTGTCACAGCATTTGCACTCCTCGCAGGCCAGGATGCCCACAATTCCCGCAACCAACTCCATTTGGATCTGTCCTTCTTCACCAGCCATCTATACAGCGCCCTCCTCTCCCTCTCCATTGATCCAGACCTCGAGCTTACGAAACGCTCCGTCGTATCTCAGAGCGTCAATAAAATCAACGTCCAGACAACAACCGTTCTTCTTCTTCGTTCTCTCACGGCAATTCTCCTCCCCAGCTACAACATCCGCTCTGTTCCCCCGGTCCGTTTAGCCGCCTTCACCAAGCAACTCATGACTATGCTGCTGCATATTCCCGATAAGTCTGCGCAGGGCGTACTAGCCTTGTTGGGTGATGTAGCCCATGCACATAGCAAGAAGGTCAATAGTTTGTGGAACACCGAAGAGAGAAAGGGTGACGGGAAGTACAACGCACTGAGCATCAACGTGGACGGAAGTAACCCATTTACTGCAACAGTCTGGGAGGGCGAGTTATTGAGGAAACACTATTCGCCCAAGGTAAGGGAAGGCGTCAAATTACTTGAGAAGGGCATGTCTGGGTAGAAAACTATCTAGTCTACCTATTTAAAATTAACACCATCTAATTAATCACCCTAATTTCTCATTTTCTTGTGACTGCTTGCTGAAGAAGTGCAGTGCGGATCACACCGCTATACTTCCACGAACACCAAAATTTTCATCCTGTGGGATTTTACATCAAAGAGGTTTCCCTTGGCAAGTGCAAACATCTTCTGGGCGAAGCGGATCAGGCTGTTGAAATCTTCAGTTCAGAGCCAAATCTTGGACAGCTCATGCAATATCGTGGAGTTGGTGAGTTTCCATATTACCCGAGCAACTCCAAAATATCACAGGCAATCTTGAGTTTCACATATCCCTTCCCTTTTACTTTTCATCTTAGTTTTCGCAACGTCACATAATAACCAGACGGCTTTCTGCTTGAGAGGACTTGTAGTGTTTCAACTACTTTTTGTTCCAGTAAGAGGAAGCAAGGCCTTGGGTAGGCTTCTTTTGGGTATGAGGGCGATTTTCCTGTGAAGATACTCGGGCTACAGGGACAAAACTACCCTGAGGCTGAGGGGTACCATGCTGGATGCTGACTGGAGTCTGCATGTACAAAGTGCCTCTGCACTCTCCAGGTGTCATCATCCCATCGGAGATAGATACCTGAGTCGTAGTGACTAGCTGCCCTGTGGTAACACCAGTAGGTATGAATTGCTGCAAATTGTCCATGCTGATAGGAGTGGCATTAACAGGACTCATGAGGCGGGGCGAGTGGAAATCAGGCATGGGCTGAGGGGAGTTGTGAGGAACAGGGACAAGGTCGGGATAGGGGCTGAAATCCTCAGCCTGGGGCCGTAGGGGGGAAGTCTCCGAGGGTTTATCGGCAAGCGGCTGCCCTTTGACATAACCATTAGGCAAGGAATTCAAAGCAACAACAGGCTCGTAACCTTGTTTCAAGACTGTCTCAGCAATGGGTTTTGGTTGATTTTCTCCCCGCGAGGGCTTTTTTGGCTCGGGAGCGGTCTTGAGTGCTGGCTCAACAGTGAATGTTGGCTGTTTTGTCCCCTCTGAAGACCCTGTTGGCTTGGGAGATGTCTTTGGTGCTGGCTTAACAGTGGGTGTTGGCTGTTTTGTTCCCTCTGAGGAGCCTGTTGGCTTGGGAGATGTCTTTGGTGCTGGCTTAACAGCGGGTGTTGGCTGTTTTGCTCCCTCTGAGGACCCTGCTGGCTTGGGAGAGGCCTTTGGTGCTGGCTCGGTGGTGGGTGTTGATTGGTTTGCTACTTTCAAAGGCTCTTTTGGCTCAAGAACCGTCTTTGGTGTTGGTTCAGTCTTGTTACCTTGAGCCTCGGATGCTTTATTGGTCTGTGATGGAAAATTTGGATTTCCATCAACAAGTCTGGCTGGCTGATGTGACTTGCCATTTGTGCCCACCTGACCATTCTCTTTCGGGCCACGGTTGCCAGGCGTCACTGCCTCGAGGCTCTCCTTCTGAGTCAACTGAGAAACATGGGTTGTTCCAGTAGCTTTCACCTGTGAGGGACGTGCGGTCTCTTTCATTTTGATGGGAGCAGGCATCTGGGTGACTGTAGCATTATTAGGGGTTGATTTCTTCACCTCGTTGGAATGAGAACTGGCAGCCGGCGTGGCAGTACTGAAAACCCCAGGAGGAGCAAAAGATAAGAACGAGGCAAGACCCGGGTTCTCAGGCTTTGTACCAGGTGGATCCTTGGAGCAAGTTCCTGTTCCACCACCGGCGAGGTTGGAGGTAGCTGGAGACTGGTGTGACTGGGATCCAAGATTTGGATTTCCCCCAGTGGCTTCATGAATCTGGGTTTTCTGAGCTGAACTCTCTTGCGTAATTTTGATAGAGGGGTTCCCCGAGCCAGAGGTCTGTTCCTCCTTGACAAGCGGCTTAGAAACGGAGCCTGTGATTCGTAGTCAGTAAATTTAAAACCATCACCCAAAGAAATTGTCTTACCATTCACGTTTTTAGCTTCCGGGACATCTTTTCGCAACAAGAAATCCTTACCAGAGCTGTTGAAGGCTGGGATATTTCTAGGGGCCGTCTTCTGAGGTTGTATTGAGAAGCTCCCTGGGCTCGAGTAGTTGCGGTTTCGGACCGAAGGGATTCCAGCTGGTTGAGGGGTAGGTTTTCTCAAGGGCGAAAGAGTATCTATTCATAGTTAGAAAAGACGTTTTGTGAGGGCTCTCATAGGATACGTTGCACCTTTCGGAGAAAACGTGCTACTACTCATTCTTGGGGGCGGCCCGCCGCCCCCGCCCTTCCCTCCCTTTTTGAAAGACTTGGCAAGTTCCAAAGCATCTCGGAGCTTGTCCTTGTCACCAAATCCAGCGCTCATTTCAGATCAGTCTTATCAGGTGTGATCTTGACTTCTACTGTCACGTTAATCCTGCTTTGGGGGGGGATCGAGAACGATGCGGAAGCAGTTCCTAGAGAATCCCGAGGTCCTCTGATATCGAGTTGGAAATAAACTTACGGTTCAGCTCGAAAAATTACAGCTTCAGGAAGAAGGAACGAGGCAGAACGGTAGCCCGAAATCCTTCACTAGAGGTAGCTGTTCTGAGGTTGTTCTGAGGAAACTCGTCGACGACCACTACTAATAAGCCAAAGAAGCCGTTAGGGATGAGCTTGCTTGCGAGACGTTGCTGCTGATTAGCCGATGTGGTATGCGATTGAATGAGAATCAGAGTCACGAGAATTGGATATTCCAGTGCAACTTTGAGTGCATGCAGTGAATCGTTTGTTTACATGCAAATCAAGAGTAAACAGTTTAGTAAATGGGTGGGAGGGTGTGGGGAGGGACGGAAGGTACAAACGAGATCTCGCGTGGACACCTAAGGCATCCATCAATCGCGTACGGCACACCAGCCTGAATGCAAGAGAGCCTGCTGAGCTCCCTAAACAAGAGATTCTCAGCTGAAACGCAGCACTAACTTGCAAGGCAGCCACCAACGGACGGGAGGGATCGTAGACGGGAGGAGACATGGACGGGCACCTGCTTCCTCGTCCAAGTAGCAGCAATAAGATCCACCAGATCAAATATGCTTGCATCCCATGTCTTGGTACCGAAGTAGTATGTATCTATCTACCTTACCTGATAACTGATACCTTACCTAGTACCTTCAAGATACTACGTCCTGCTCAATGTGGTGGCGCTCTGCCAGACAAGTGTGGTCTTTTGAGTGGGTAGGACGAGATCCGCAGAAGCCTCTTGTCTACGAACCCTGTAACAGGCAAAGCCGTCGGGTTCAAGTCCCATTGCCAGGATTATATTCCCTGCTGGGCCTCAAACTGCCGTGAATTTCAAATCGAGAGAAAATAATATCTTCTTGGACTTTGTCATCCCTACATCAGTAGCAAGAATGCTGCTGATTGCCAAATTGAGCTTGTAGAACCTGAGCTCTCCCGTCACTCTGAAACAAAACGCCCTCAAGTGTGCAGATACATGACCTAATGAGCGTCGGTACTCTGTATACACTGTATTCATAAGGTTTGCATCTGCCAGTTTGACCAGACTGCCAGTATCTACAACACAACCAAACAAGCTGACCCAGGGCCAGGGGCCGAACAACAAACAGGCAAAAACATGCTGGTCATATTAGGTAGCTCGTTTCCAGACAGGCACATATCCATCAGTAGGTTCCTCTCGATCGGAGTGGTCAGCACACGCGCAGGTGTCTATTTACAAGCCAAGGACTGCCTGAACCAAGAGGCTTCTGGACAGTTGCAGGTCCCAATTATATGCAAACATGGACTATATTAGGCTATCAGTTTTCAAGTTTTTCTTGCCTTCTTTTGCCCCACGGTCGTTTCTATAGAATTGATTCGCGTAGGAAGATAAGAGGTTTGATCCTGTGGCCTACCAAGCCAAGCCGCATCTACAGGGGGGACTTTTTCTCTAACGAAGTCCCAAAGGGCTTTGCATCCAGGTGCGTCGCGCTTTATTGCGATGGATGAGACACGGGGAATGTGCAGAGACTTGCTTAGACGCTCCGAGCAAGACTTGGAAAATCCAATGAGTCGTGTCTGAGAGTCGGAGGGGAGCTCCTTTGTCGCCGCAGCCACCATTCTCGGAAACTGGCAATTGAAGGCCGACGACTGATCTCCTCGGGCGACGAAGACCATTGAATATACGATGTCATTCGTTTCCATGTCAACATCGCCGTCAGTATTTTCAGTGTGCTGGCTTTCGCCTCTTGATTTCCTCTCAAGATTTCTAGTAATCACATTGAATCCAATGTCTAGTTTTAGTCCCAGTTCTGGTACCTGGGGTATGGTTTGGTCTTTGGTTAAGTCTTTCTGGTCCGTTGTGGCTTTTTCCCGTTTGGCTGCTCGCTTCCCTTTGGAGGGTTTGACGTGGTCACGCCGATGTTGTCCCACGGATGAGAGCAGACTAGAAAGTGTTCGCGTCAAGACATCAGCCTTCTTTCTCATATATTCTACCTATTAAACAAGTACTCACCTGCAGAGAAGCTCTAGGATACTATCCTGGTCTTCTAAAGATATATCCGGCCTATCGGGTGAAAGGTCAGCAGGGCCAGAGTGTGGAGCTGTGATGGGAGGATGAACAGTACCAGGTGACAGTTGAGAACGGAGTATCAAGCTGATAAATGGTTCTTTTCCGAACATTGCTCTGCACAGATGGCCCCATTTCGATATAATTATTCTTACTCTTGTTCAATATATCTCTTCAGTTTCGGGGTCAAAGCTGAAAATACAATGGTGATCGATGCGAGTCAACTTCGTTGATGGGCGTCTACGTAGGGGATTTTTTACTGTCGTAAAGTGGGCCTTCTTCCTGGCGTGAGCCTACTACCCTATAGTACGATCACGCTGGGTTCAGCTACAAGCTTCATAGGTGGTTTAAGGCCTGAATGTCAAAATAAAGAAAGTGCGTGTCTGTATTAGTAACTAATTCTTTACTTTAGATCTAGATCTATTCCTCATCCACGAGCACCTTCCGCTGCTGCCAATCCTGCTAATCAAAGCCCAACTTTGAGTTAAGGCGGCCCTTGCATCATAGCCCACCTAAAATTAGGCACATACACGCAGGGGACGTGCCCCAGGGGATGTGGGGATGCTGAGATCAAACAATAAGTTTGCTGTGCCTGCGTTAATGGCAGTATTCTGTGATTGGCAACGACAGCCATAATAATTGGAACATAATAGAAAATGGGGTTTACATTGTCTGGTCCTTTGGCTGACTGTGTCGTGGTATCAAATTCGCTTCGATACGTAGGTAGCTGCCGGAACATGCCTTTACTGGACACTTTAATGGGAGCCACTTGTACCTGAGTTAGTACCTAGCGCTCCTCGGGGCAGTTAGTGAGATGTATCATACCGCGTCACTTGGTACTTCCCGCCATTAAGGCAAACTCTGCTGGCGCCGTATTTTCAACAAACTGTGTCACGAGCTGGAAAATGTATGCTAGGAATGCCATTCTGTGGGTAAGGTATTTTTATTCTAGCCGTCTGGATAGCCCAATCCACGGACCGAGCCTCCCTGCCTGCGTTTTAGATTTAGCTATTCTTTAATGGGCTCGATAAAATCTTCCTCATGAGACCTCTAAGCATAATAGCACCTTCCTACACTGAATTTTTTTTCAGAGGCAGCTAATTCTTTGTCCGGTTGATACAAAATATCAAAGCTCGCACAGTAAGACTAGAACGAATAGAAGAAACCTGGTGAAAGCATCGGTTAGAGCACAATGACATACCCAGAGAGTTATACCTATAATCGTCCCATATTATTATCGCCAATTACTTCAGTTCCTGTATGGACCCTGAGTTAGATAATACAACGAGGCTCTATGCAGAATTTTTTTCAAGAACGCATCAAATAACGTGTTGGAGCAGTAGCCAAGCTTCTTAGGGAACCAGCGTACTGTTTGACTATTGGAGTTGAATTAATTGGATTAGATGAAAAAACCACCATATCTCGAAGTCAGTACCCAAGCTAGGAGGGACGGCAGGTTGTCTCGAATCCAATTCCCTCTAATCCTCGGACGCATCAGTCACACTGCCTCGAGCCTCTCCACGACCAGGCCTTTTTCAAGCTCCCCCTTCCTCCGGGTTGCTTGTTCGATCCGGTCAAGTTGGCATCTTGCACTCTTGCAAAAGAGTCCGGGCGCATAGCCCGAGCAATAAGAAAGGCTAATTTTGATTTGCCACCTAAGGTACCTAATTCCATTGATTGATGTTGTGCTCAGCTCTCGTAGAAGTATCTGGAATATTTCCCCTATTCTACCTTGAAACCGACTGGTTGGATAATAGGTGAATATATTAAATCCTGGATTCATATGCAGAGCAACGAGACCAGATATTTGTTGGTTTGCCAGGGATCTGAAGCGACATCGGGTGTGTCACTGGCTACGGTGACTCCAGGCAGCAGCCAGCTGGCGGGCTACTGGGTAACATCCGAGAGCCATCAGTTTATTAGCCACAAAGGTTCAGGTTTGCTCCGTGTCTGTTGGGCAAGTCTTGGGATTTGTCAGATCTCAAGCAGCCACTCCATTGGTTGCCTTTACCTCCTCTAGATTTGTTTCTGCATGCCCAAACCTGTGAGTCCACCGCCTCGCCAATGAAGTTCAGCAGACGCCTTAGGTACCTTGGTATTGATTATGCGCGTGCCATTTTTTCAAGAACTGATCTGCCGAACAGCTCCAAATCGTATATAATCACGGCCAGCCTTGGAGGTGGTAGATGGTGACTCTGCTGAGCTCGGTGCACCATTGATGTAATTATTGCTGCGTCTACACCCCTCCCCGCTCTTGGCGCACCCCCACGCGTCGTCCTCTACTCAACTCGTTTCCTCTTCACCCAAGGCTGGCTCTGATTCGAGGTCAGGAAATGGTCAGTAAAATGTATTTTCTTTTCGTATTTCATCACTTTCCTGCTTAGTGAAGCACTCGTCCCGTGTGCTTCACTTCCCGCTGGTCAGCACCCTGCCTGTGAAGCCATAACTGGGCGCCAGTCCTTTCGCCTGGAGCATTTTCTCGTGGTACAGTTGGCAGGATTGATTTCGCAGCCTCGACTTTTCCCACCTCATTACCTCATTACCAGCAGAAGTCCCACCATGCCGCAGTGAAGCTGTTGGATATTCCCCGAAAACCTCTAGCTGACAACAGCACCAGACACATTGGATTTCAC